GTCTCTACGTCCATGCTCTTTCCTGCATGTTAATTCTCTCCCCTTCAAGGTCTCATTTAGGAGTAAAATAACGTATCTTAATGTAAGCATTCATTCACACACTTATTGAGCGTTCCTTGTTTCCTGGGTGCCAAACAGATGCTTGAATACAGAGATGAGTAAGACATTCTGTGCCGACAATGGCTACCATTCATGGAATACGTACTGTCTAACAGACGGCGTCCTGAGCATGCTTCACCTGTCATTTAATCTACTCTTTATACCAACCCTATGGCAGGAATTGTTATCCCCACTTTACAGATGAGAGAAAGGGGCTCCAGAGAAGTTCAATAGCCCATCTAAGCTCTGTGAACAGTACCAAAATACAATTACAGGCACACCTGAATTTAACATTTGAGCTTTCCCACACTATCTTAATTCACTGTCTTGATAAATCAAGTTGCATGCCCACAGGGAGCTTAAACATCTCATAGGTAAAAAAAAAAAAAAAAAGGAAAGAAAATCCAAAACACCCACCCAAAACAACAAAAAAACCCCACAATCCATACAAGTGATTATATAATAAGAAAGAGTTAGTGCATTTATTTCCTATTTCACAGCTGCCTTCTCTGATAATGAAGTAATCAGGGCTAAAGTCACAACCAACAAACTAAAACGTTAAATTCACTGTTTCATTTACGTGTCCGTTATCAACTCTCGGCATCTGTATGCTGGAATTAGTCTTCTATCTCCACTATAATCATAACTGAATATCAAGGAAGGTATATGACTTTGAACAAATGAGCTAAAAATTCTTTATTTTTGCATTTTATGGTAGGAAGAGAAGATCAAGCCAATATTTTCACATAACAGACTTCCAAACCAGGCAAGAGTTAACACTTAGAATTCACTGAAGAAGTATAAGCTGTACTTGTGAATTTGCCTACAGTTCTTTGCTGCTCTTGTTGCTTTAGCAAGTCTTTGGATTCTGATAATGACAACCCTCCTTTTATAGTAACAGATTTTAGGCAAATGCTCTACAGACTGAAAAACCCTTGCAGCCCATACACATCAAGCGAAATATCTTAAACCAATGTAGAGATGGAGTGTCAGCAGTATACAAGTAAAGTGCCTTCTACCACGGGGATAGCAAACTACCAACAAATCATTAATGTCCTCCTGGTTATCTATTCAGCAGTGTACCTGCCAGGTCAGCTTCTAAATAGGTCCTTTCAAGAAGAGTCGATTTTATTTTATTGGGAAGGACAGATATGAAATAGAGCCAGAAGGTTAATATGAGTTTAAGAGGAGCATAAGGTTATCTGGGCAATTAAACGCTCTCCAGGAGGTTAATTACCCACACCTAGGCCTTACAAGTCACAAAATATATCAGCAGTTTCAAAATTTTGTGTATAACAGACAACTCTATTCTACATTCTCAGTGATATCATTTCACTTATTTTTTGCAGGACTAAGTTAAAGTAACAATCCTTCTATGGTCTATTTAGGAAAAAAAAAAAAAAAGAAATGTTGTTCAAACTGCTGCAGCAATGTCATATAGAAGAAAAAATGTGGCCAAAATTGTACAATTTTAGAGAGTGAGAGTAAGACAGTGTGCGTAAGACAGAGAAAAAGAGAGAGGACAGAGGGAGAGAGAGATTGAGATTGAAATTGAACTGGTTTCTGAAAGCCTTAGTAGATTTACTAAATGAAACTGTGTGTGTGACCAGCCTGGGAGCTGGATAGGGCAACGAGGTTGCTGGAGGGCAAGTTGGTATGTTTCTGATGACCTGTGGTTTTAAATGTCTTCACTCTAAAGACCATAGAAAAGCCAGTGTGCTGTTGCTAGCTGAAATCATGATAGGATTTGTGTTAGACCTACTTGACCCACTGCCCTCACCCTCATTCAAACCACCATCATCTCTCACCTGGATCTCTATAAAAGCTTCCCACATTTCCCTGCTGCCACTGGTCATCCTTGACCCCCACCCCAAGCCTGTCTCTGCCCAGCAAGGCAGTCAGTCATCACTTATGATGGCAGTCACATCATGTCACCCCTGCTTAAAGGCTTTCCATTGCATTCAGGAAAAATTCAAAATCCTTACCACAGTCCCCTCTGTTTGCCTTTCCAACCCGCTTGCCTATAACCCCTGCCCTCCCATCCCCACCCTGCCCTTACACTCTTCATCACAGTGGTCTTGATTCTATTTCTTGAACAGAATCTTAACATCATGTCATCAAATGCCACGTCAAACAAGCCCTCCTAACTGGTCTACTGAATGTTGCCTGTCACCCCCCCCCCCAACTTTCAGGCACTATCATGGAACCTTCTTTTAGTGGCTTCAGAGAGCTTCTTTCTGAAGTTACAGCACTTACTCATTTCCATGTGCCTCCCCATCCTTCCTGCTCACTTTGTGTCCCCAGGACTTAGGGCAGTCCCTGGTACATGGAGTGAGTACAGGGCTTGCTACCTGGGGCTCCTTCTGCATTTCAGTGATCTGGAGCTTCTATCTTTCCTGGAGTGGAGTGGTGCTGTTCAATCTTTAGAAAGCTTCTAATATTATGTCATCATGTGATAATACTTAAAACCACAACAATCAACAATGATAACCACACTTTACTAAGCACCTACTTAGCACCAGATACTGGACTGGATGTTTTACATGTATTTTATATTTTAATCTCCCAACAGCCCTATAAAGTTGTTCATTGCTATGCTGTCCTACTTCCCTGTGCAGACGATACCAGGTACAAGTTGAATAGCCCTAATGTGAAAACTCAAATTCCAAAATGCTCAAAAATCTGAAAGTTCTTGAGGGCCAACATGATGCTCAAAGAAAATGTTGAATGGAACATTTTGAATTTTGGAGTTTTGAATTAGGGATGTTCAACTAAGAATACTGAAAACATTCCAAAATACCAAACATTTCGAATCCCAAGCATTTTAAAATTATTTTTTATAACAATGCATAATAGATGTATATAGTTTCAGGGTACATGCGATAATTTAATACATTCGTGTACTTGTGAAGATCAAATCAGTGTACTTGGGTTATCTGTCATCTTAAACATTTGTTACTGCTTTATGCTAGAACCATTTTAATTCTTCTCTTCTAGCTATTTTGAAATATGCAATAGATTATTATAAACTCTAGTTACCCGAATGATCTATTTAATACTGAGTCTTATGTGTTGTATCACACCATATGTTTGTACTAATTTATTAACTTTTCTTCATACTCCCCACCCCATCCCAAGCATTTTGGATAAGGGGTACTCAACTTGTACTGATCAATGATATTCTAGACCCCAATCTGTGTTAGTCCAAGGTACTGAAACCTTACTCAGTATTTATGTAAGTCTGTAAAGGATGTGAATCCATTCAGGATTCTTTTGGGGAGTGAATTCAAATGCTTGGAAAATATTCTTCCTCTTTGCTCTACTATAGTTCCATCCTGTGACAGTCACACTGCACCACAAACCTCCTGATGACAGAGACCACCTTGCAAGGGACTGGGCAGTAAGTGATCTCAGCCAGACTCCTCAGATAATGAGACACCCTTCCTGCTTCCTTCTGGGAAGTAATGGGTTCAACTATCTAAGAACACAGCCTCTCCAGGTGTCCTGGACTGTCTTCTGGAAAGGAAAGAACCCCACGAATATAATATAAGGTCTTATTTTTCTGGCAAATGTACTTAGGTTCTGGACCAGGTAGGTAGTGCAGCCTGTTAATAGGATTTTGAAAAAAGAATTACTATAATTATTTTTTTTGGCAGCCTGGAGCCTTTTATCTTTATGAGATGATAGTAATGTTTTAAAAGGATTATCATAGTGTTGTATGATGATGATGATAATAATAATAATAATCCTTTATTATATGCAATGCTTTAAGAGTTTTAAAAATACTTTGATACAAAATAGAAGGTTTGATTCTAAGAGTGATCTTTTGAGGTATAAGGGATTGTAATTGTTTGCCAAATTTCATAGTAGGGGAAACTAAGGTTCAAGGCAATTAAATAGCTTCAAGCTATTCACAGCAGGGCAGCTTCCAGACCCAGGTAGCCTGATTCCTAGTCCAGTGTTCTTTAAATAAATCATGACTGGTGAGCTAATTTAAAGGAGGAGACCAGAAGAGATTCTATCATAAGATTTGAAGTGTGTGTTTGTGTGCATGTGCGTGTGTGTGTGTGTGTGTGTGTGTGTGTATGTGTGTTTGTATGTATGTTAGGAGGGGTGGTGGATTCCAGAAAGTGATTCTTAGGAAATAAAATATTATTTTAGAAGCGTAGACACATTATAAAACCTTAACAAAGCCTTGAGTTCCTAAGCATTGTCATCTGTTCCATATCACACCGTCACAATTAAATCATGGTGTCATACAAACTACCCAGGCTTCAAGCGTCCCAATAAAGACACTCGATACTTAAAGAAAGAACATTCTGCAAAGCTCTTTCGTATTTATTTTCTCATCTCATAGCTTTTTATTCTCTCTCCAGAAATAACGCTTTTAGAGTTTATTTTGCTGCAGTTTCTGTCTTAATGAATTAAAGGAGTCCATTTTATGGTTTCAGCAATAGTCATCTCTGGCAGTGACTCAACCAGCGGCTTTCTCTCAGTTCTTTCCCCAAGAAAAGAAAAGAGGAAAGCAAAGCTTCCTCATAAATGGTGCACTTACACTCTTTCTCTTTTTACATCTGTGGCCCCATTGGCTCATAGGGCTCTGCTCCTGAACTTTCTTTTCTGATTACTGACACGAGAGCCTGAAGTCAAGGCAGAGATGATGATACACCATTGTCTTCAGCAAAAGGCAAAGGCTGCTCTACCACCCTGGCTCAGCACACAGTAGCATCTTGAGAAGAACACACTAGAAATCCCTAAATTCAGAACATAGCAGCCCAAGAGAAATATATTCACTTTGATATCCACTGTTCAACTATATTGAAGGTGTAGTTTATGTTGAAGGTTAAAGAAGTTTAGTGAAAGTCAGTTTTAATGAATTCCAGTTCCCTCTATGCGCTTACCTCCAGAAAATGTTCTGCCTGCTGTTCTCGATCCAATTTCCTTGAAGTTGTTGTAATCAGACCTGTGTAGAAATGAGAATATTTGACTTTTAAATATCTGGGGCAAACAGCTTACTGAGTGTGGGGAAACAAGTCCAGTTAAAGGAAAAGCAAAAGTGGTGTGGAACTGTAACTTTCCAATCCCCCATGACAATCAGAAGGGTCTCAAGAATCATTCTTAAAAGAAAGTAAAATTTACAAAGAAAACCTGAAAAATTGTTTCAGCCTATCTACCACAGTTGGCATACTGTAATTACTTTGGGGAGGTAAAAACTCACTAAAGAACTTCTGTTTTTCTGATAATGAAGAGTTCCAATGATTCATGTGCATATGACTGAAATTCTACAGTAGAAACCTCATTAAAGATTTTAGAGTTCCTGAACAATTAATAGGTTGTTTATGCTGATTAGATTCAGGCTATGAAACAGTACTTTCTTACTTAACTTTTATATGCACATATAATTTTTGCTATACTTGACAAAGAAGGTTATTTCTGTAATCGCTACTTATACACATAATTATTTCAGATTTAATAACTTACACACCAAAGATCTCATACTGTAATTTTATCATTTTGTTTTATGTGTTTGAATCTTTATACAAAATAAGTTCGACATGAAAAATATCTATCTTTTCTTCCAACGGTGTTTCTCATAAGTGAATCACCCCTTTGAGTATCAAGACAAAGAAAAGAAAATGATAAGACAAAACCTTCAAGGCCTCTCAGCTTATTGCACCAATTTGTCTTTTGCAGGTTTTATTATTCCTTTTGTCAAATGGCAATTAGGAGGTCAAATTTATTTTCCATTTCTTGATTCCACGATGTCCCTAAAGAGAATATGGGGTGGACTGTTTTCCTGGTGTATGCTGATGGACAATGGAGGAACAGAGAAAAATCATATGAAAAGCCTGTCCCAGTGCTGGTGAGGTAGGTGCAATGTGGAAAGGTATTTCCAGGGGCTGTGAAAGAGCTCTTGACCTCAAGCTTCTGTCTTACATAGAAGTGGTGGGTGGGAGCACACAGATTTTAGAGAAAGCCAAGAAGAGACCACAGGAAATTAAATGGCTCCCCACGGCCTTCAAAATAATATCCCACTCAGAGTAACACGGCTGTTTACAAGCTAGCCCCTCCTCTCCACCTCCACACTCCCCACAGGAGGAAAACCTGTGTTTCCAGCGCACAAATGATCTGACTTTCCATGAATTCATTCTGGAATGTGCCCCACAGATTTTTTTTCTTTATCTTTTTTATTGAAAATATAGATACATTGAAATATATGAAAAAAATATATATATGGTAGAAAATGAGCTTATGATTCAAGCATACCATGTGAAATAATTAAATCAAGTCAATTAACACATCCATCACCTACAATACTTATCATTTTTTTGTGGTGAGGACATTTGAAATTTATTAGCAATCTTGAAGTGTACAATAAACTATTATTAATTATATTCACCCAAGCTGTACATTTCTACACTGAGCTAGATTTTTAAATTTTAGCTCAGATGTTAGCCTTTGCTGACCCTGTTTAACAGGGCTAGGTGGCCATCTGCTCTGCCCTCATGTAACCAGTGCTCTCCATTATTGATCTCTGCCTTATACTAGAATCCTTTGTTCACACGTCTGTATTTCCCCACTAGACAAATTGACAGAGTTACTTCATGAGAAGGGCCTGTCTTTTGATTCGGAAACTGATACCTACCTAGTTCCTCACCTAGAACAAAGAATAGGAACTCTTTAACGCTTAGTTAATGAAAAGTTGCTCTGGAAGAGATCCACTGTATTTTATTCTTCAGTTTTGCTACAGACTTGGAATGTGTTTGTTTAAGAGGGTATTGTTTTGTGTGTGGAGGGTGTATTTGTGGTGGGAAAAGTTTGTGTGACATGTGTACTCATAAAGTTTGCAGAGTTCCTCTGTGTGAATGAGCAACGCTAGGCACTCTTGGATGTGAAGAGCTACTGTCAGAGATTAAGGAGGAAAGACTGCCACCAGGAAGGTCAAGGAAGATCAGTGACTTTCCTTCCTTAGCTAACCATCAGAATCACCAGGGAAACATCAAAAACATAGATTTTGTCTCCCTGCTCCATCCCTCATTTACTCTATCAGAATCTCTCAGGATGAGGTCCGTGATGGTCCTCTTATTCTAAGAGAAAGGTGCTATCCAATTCCACTATCTTTCACTGAATCTCACTGTGACTTTTTATTGACCTTACTTCTTCTGACCAGACATGCCCAAGAACGAAATACACTGAGCTGCTCTAGCATCTCGATTAGAACATTGAGCTCAGTGTGTGTGGGTGTGGGGTGGGGTGATGGAGATAGCCTGTGAGTGCCTGCTCAGGGGAGGTGAGGAGACGAATAAAGGGCAGCACAGCGCTCTGAGTCACACTGATGTGGATGTCTAACACACACATCTGACACCTTCATTTCTGGGCCATTCTATTGGACAAGGTCATATGTCACAGAGGCTCTTTCAAGGTGGGGAGTAACTCTCTTCTCACAAGTCAGGGGGAGCTTTCATGGAGCCTCCCCTCTCCTGTGTGGGGGCTCCTCTATTAGAGCCCACAATAGGAATGAGACATGTTTGTTATATTGAGGCTATAAATGAGTCAAAGGGCTGTTGGCCTTCACCCTGCTGCTCTTTCAACCACAAAAAACCAGGGCCCCTTTGCCCTCTGTTCCCCTGGGGACTCACTATCATCACAGGTGCCCCTTGCCCAGGGTCACATGGCCACAGCCCATAGCCCACTGTGGTGTGGCTGTGCACAGGGAAGAGGGAGGTCAGCTTCCTCTCCTGATGATTCTTAGGGCAATTTTTTAGGACATTCACTTGTTTTCACAATGCCCACATGTAACTGGGAGAGCGGCAGGGTCCCCTTCACCTTCATACCTTCACCTGGATGTGTTTCTCACCTATTGATCAGCCCACAGAGAGAGACAGGCTTCCTGAAAAGTCTGAAACAACATACACACAGTGAACTTGGAGCTGTGAGGAAGACAAGCAGTTTCTGTTTCTGGAGTAAAAAGACACAGGAAAGCCTCCGCTGGTTACAGTTCTCTTGGCTTCTACCACCTTTAGTTTCACAGATATGAAATAAAAGGCAAGAAATAAAATGTAAGTTAAAAGTGGAAATCGGTAGGAAATCAGATGAGGTGGTATGGGGATAGGGAGTGTCTGTTTGCTAATCGGTACAAGGTTTCTTTTTGAAGGGATAAACATGCTCTAAAATTACAGACTATGGTGACGGTTGCACAATTCTGTAAATATTCTGAAAACAATTAAATTGTATCCTTTAAATGGGTGAAGTTTACTGCATGCAAATTATATACTAATAAAGCTATCAGAAAAATCACTAGAAAATCATAAACTCTGCCTTTAAGGTTTTAATAAGTCTTTTATATTTGGAAAAGGTAGGCTCTTAAAAATATTTAAATGAACGAATGAATGAATGAATGGGTTAGTTAGTTTAGGCCTCAGGCATGATGAAGGGTTGAAATGAATAGAGTTGATTGGGCTTGTCCATAGGAATCTGGAACATGGAAACATTGAAATTTTACAGTTACAGCAACAACTGGTAGTTATTTGCAGTTGAAAATAAATAAATACATCTTGTTATCAAAATCTTGATAAAATAAATCTCGTTATCAAGCCAGGGTCAGCTAAACCACTAAGGTGTAAAAGCTTTCCTACTGCTCAAAGTACCTTCTTATGATGAGCTACGGTACCTCAGCAGCACTGCCATTTTTTACAGTCAGAAAAAAATGCAGTGAGCCATCCTTCCTGGCCCAGAGGAATTAGTTAAAATGACCAATGCTGCCTCTTCATTTGTAATAACTTTGTTGTAGCTGAATGCATTTGGAACAAATAGAGAATAAGACAACAAGACAATAGAGAACAAGACAAAATAGAGAGAATAGAGAACAAGACAAAACAGAGCAACCTCCCTCCTCAACCACTCTGACTCATCACTGGGGAAGGCAATCCCATTCTGTAATCGATACAACAGAGGTGTGTGTGCATTACACATGTAACTGTAGACACACTGGGCACAGTAAATTGGGGACTGACATGATGAAATTGAATTTCAAAGATAAATCATAGGCAAGCATTTGAATGTGGTTTGGAGATATAAACAAACACATCATTTGATATAATTACATATGCAAACCTCCAATTTAGGAGGGGAAGTACGCCAGTCCTAAGTGAATGATACTCAATAAGGGGGCGGGGGAGACATATGGCTGGAACTGTGCAATTACTTAAAAATGGTTGCTTTTGATTTTTTGTTATGGAGACGGAAGAATCTAATGACCTCTCTCTCTGAGAAACAGCCTGAGCATGAAAATGTGGCTGCCTGTTTGAAAGAGAACTCAAAATGTTCTAAGCAGTTGTGGTCAGAGAAGTGATACTTTTAAGGATGATACCTTTTCCCTGATTTTTCTGCCCGTGGGTGTCTTGGGTCGCAGCTGTGTAATCTGCTGCCATGACATTCACGTTTTCAAGTGCTACTTGAAGCAGTGCGGGTCTTAGCTGTTTCAGCATAATTCTGCAAGACTGCGGGAAGCTGGGTTTGGTGTTTTAAAAATACAACTAGAATTATCAGCTCTGTGAGCGACAATTAATTCTTTCCTCTATGTTTTTCACATCCCATTTCCTATGCTTCTCACTTCTTCAAGTCTGTACCCAGCTATCTGATAAACCGTTCACTATCCTTCCAGACAGTTGAGTTGTTACTTTCTATGTGAAACCCTCTCGGACCTTTCCTTACCTGGCATGTTGCATGTAATTAATTCATTTATCATCTGAATCTCCATCTAGACTACAGTAGCAGAAGGCAAAGGCTTTGGGTCTTTAAACACAACTAACCCCACAACCTAGATCAATGCCTCCTCAATTTTTTGAATAAAATACTACTTTTGCAGCACACAACATTTTGCTTTAATTATTTGCCAAAGAGTCAGTCTTCCCTAATAGGAAACAAGGAAAAAGGTAGTGAATAAATCTTATTTATGTTGTA